TATGATAGTTAAGCATCAGGACGAAAGAGACAAAGAGGTCTTCCAGAAACAGAACAAACAAAATAACTTGTTTTTTAAACCAGAGCTGTTTTCACATATGCACTCTCGAAAATGTATATTACATTTCATGCAGGTGCCCCTGAAATCTTCCTGACTTGCTGATTAACAGATGCACCTCATAGCAGGAGGCTTTTCCTTGTCGGACAGAGGTGCATTTTGGGGTGGAGGGTTAAACCATCAGTGCAATATGTACTTCAACTATGCATGGGTAATAAAACGATAATGATGATTATCGCAATCTCATTTTTCCCAATAGAAATATGACAAATGTTCAATAAAAGTTTGATAGATTTAACCTGTAATTACACCACCCAATCACGGGAAAGGGGTGCTAATATGCCTTAAGCACTAGTTGCCAACTGACATTAAACAATAACCAAAAACAATAACCAAAGATGACATCGAATGCGGGGAATCATGGGAGTTATTCTCTCTGCTAGTAAGTGTTACGTCAGCAGCAAACTTTCATATCTGCATTTTCCACTGTGCTTGTGAAATGTTCCCCTGTTCATGTATAGTTTGTCATGTTATGACAGTAAAGAATGGTTAAACAACAAAAAACATCTGGTTTTCTCAACTTTCACTCATGAGAAAAATCAGCCTTTTAACATGAAAAAAATAATGATTTGACATTCGTTGTGATAATTATCTATATAGTCGGTTATGAACATTTTTATCGTGGTAACATAGTCACATAGACCAGCCCTAAGTTCAAAATAGTCACAGTATCAACAAAAGAGTGGACATGCTGGCACATATAGTGTATGGTCATGTGCCGTTCACAGGACATAAGTCTCGCTCGAGGAGAATTGACCTGAATATGCCTGCTGTATTCCTGCTGTAGTTTCAGAAAGTTTTCAGGAATTCTGTGCATATGATGTTTTTGTTGGCTTATGGTATACATGCTATAGCCAGGCTTTAAATAACCAGCTTCAACGTTAAACATCATACTCTACTTCTACATACAAAGAAAAAAAATGAAAAAAAGAGCCAAATTATACATTAAAAAAGCCTTGACTATATGGAAAATAAACACACTTCCAAAACTAAAAACAACAATCTATTTGTAACTTGCAGTGCTTCTGTTTCTCATTCAAACGTAAAATACTTAAAAGCTAAAGACAGTCTACAGACCATACATTTCTTGAAGAATAATAGGTTATACAGACGTAAAATTAATAAAAAGATGATTTAAATTAAAAGCCTTTACTAGCTCCATTAGCCTATTTGTTGTGGAATTGAGAGGAATATTTACTGGTGATTACAGAGTGGTTAGCTAATGATCGCTAGAGTAAAGAGTGAACGAGTGATTTGTTTGAACGCTGTTTCTCTCAGTGTGTGTGTGTGTAAAGGGAGGAATGGGGGAGCTGGTGCAATGGCGTAACCCAATCGCCGTAAGTGACAATACACAAGGAAGGGGGTGGGGGGCTTTGACAACACAGCCTATTCAGTGGCAGGGAGAAGAGGAAAAACACTAAACCTAACTGATATACACATGCATGAAACAAATAAAGACTCTCAAAGAAAATGACTTCTGTACTTAAACACTCTTTCACTCCCTGTTTACTGTTGTATCTGATTTTAAGGTCTGTCATAGCAGATAAAGAGAGTGGTCTCTAAATATTTTTTAAAGACGACCCCTGGGATATGAAGCGCCTCAATAAAGATCCAACATCACAACATTAAACCAGTCAATGCTCCAAGAAGGCAAAATGCCTACACTCACCCTCTTCCATGGCCGATGTAGCCAATCCCATTTTCTTTTGGAAAGTCTTTGTGGCTTCAAATCACCCCGCCGTGATTGCACAGATTTACCCCAAAATTAGTGTCTTATTTATCTCACTCCAACTTAAAATAAATATTTGCAATAATCCACACAAACATCTGCGAAGTACAACAGAAAAAATATTTGGAATAACCAATTGTTAAAAGAGCTGTTGAAGTATTCCTGTTTAGGCTGGTGAAGACAGTGCCAGACTATCCATCCAGATGTGGTGAGAGATTTAAGGATTCTTCAGTCTGCTCCAATGTTTGTGATTAACCTCCCCCCACTCCTTCTGAACACGCTTGTCCACTCTAAACCAGCCTGGCACAGACTGATTTCACAGTGCCGAGCTGTTTCACTGTTGGTGTAGCCTCTAATCCTGTTACTCTGACTATCCACCAGCAGTGAACTGGATCCCCCGAGTCCAACCGTACACTGGTCACACATGCATATTGTGAGCAAACACACATACATAGTCTCTGATAAAAGCTTTTGTGTGCACTATACGTTGTTAAACACACACACTTAAAGCAAATAAGCAGAGCTAGAGGGTAGTAACATCAAGCTACTGCTTCACTAACAACATAATATGGAAGGAAATATAGGCTACTAGGGCTAAATATACCAGGGCGTCCCGCCAGAGTATCATCTATGCGTGGGAAACTCTGACGTGAATGCAGCTTGGTCTGGATGAATAGGAAAATACAAGCAAGTGATTCGAAATAATTTATGTCATTTTCAAAACACTTCCCAGACAGTTTAAGTAACGTTGTAAAATCTGACAGTAACAAAAGAACTCTTCAAGTTTTACCTCGTTTTTAATATTTATTAGGCTTTCAATATGTAATATTCCACAATGTGCTCTGCGATGCGTCTTGCGGTTTATATCTGATATTTTCTAGCACAGTGTTAAGACACCTGTTTAAAGTGAGATTGTCATTTTACTGACACCAAACATGTCAGGGCACTGAATATTAACTTAATAATAGGCTATCAAGACACACTGTTCTTCTGTAAAAAAAAAAAAAAGGTTTTTATACATTATCAACTCTTTGCAACAACTCTGTTTAAAAGAGAGTTTGTTTAAAAATATGGAATAAAGTCAACAAGCTTTGAATTAATCTACACCATGGATGTTTTGGCAATATGATTTATGTCATGATTTAAACTACTTCATCGTCATGCACTGTATATTAATATATGTTGTTTGATGGTAGTGTGGAAGTACAAATTCAAATCTAGAATGCATCCTACCTGATATGGAGCTGTCATATTTTTTGCTGGATGGCTTTGTTTCCTGTTTGAAGGAGTTCTCATCGTCTGCATCCCCATCCCCCCACCAAGACGGCTGGCCATACAGGGGGGTCCCACGAGGCAGTGCTGAAGCATCAACTATGACAGATACACAAATATGCACTACTTAAAAAAAAGTTTTAACAGTGGCCTTTTTATAATAAATAAAGTATATAATAATACTGTGCCTACTCTCACTCTCAGCATAAAATGCTTTTTGAATCATGACGACACAAAGTGAGCCCAGCTGCTCTTCGTGTAGCTTCGTGTGTGTTTCTGCACTAATTCCCTTCTGGTGGGGTCTTGCACTGCTGACCTGTTTTTCAAACTTTAGCCAGCAGAAATGAACACACACACGTGCACACTGTCTGTCATGCTCTCTTTCACTCTCACTCTCTCTCCCAGACACCCTCAGTTTCAATGAAAAGGGACTTTCCGTTTGCCTCTCTGTCTTCATTATAATGAAAGCTCACATGGGATAAGCTTCCTGTGGTAACTCCTTTTTAAAAACTGGACAGCCCAGAAGAAAAGTGACCGGAAACGCAGTTTAGAAAAACAGTTTGACAAGAAAAAAGGTCTCCAGCTGGTACTGAAAGCAGGATTTTTTTTTGTTAAATTTTGCTCTACTTTTCTTTCTTTACCCTCCTTTGCTTTAAGTGCAGCTTACCCTGAACAGTGTACGTTGAAGCCTTTACCCAGATAATTCAAGATGCTCTGTGCCAAATAGTGTGCAGGAGGAAGGAACCTTAAACTACTGAAAGTATGCTCACTATATGGTACAATATGTGGGTGAGGCCTGGTATAACAGTAGTAAAACTGCAGGATTACTTTCCCAGAACCGCAAAGAGGGTGTCATTAAAACATGCAGACATGCAAAACCGTATGTGTGCGCGTGTTACAGTCGCACCCAAATTTCTGATTCTAAAAAGCAGTATGGGCAGATGGGTTTGCATTATGTGGGCACTCTGACCCTGATATTGCTTAATCCGTCCAATAATTCAAGCCTCGTGTGGCCTTGTTTTAACATCTGGAGCTTAACCAGGACCCCTGCTAGCAACGGAGCCTGGTCAGGGATGTCAATTAATAGGGACACCCACAGACCTGAACCTCCTAATGATTACACACAGTGGCTGCATGTTGGTGTGGCGGGTAAAGCCTTTTCCCTTGTGACACTGTCCACCCCCTGCTGGCCTTAGAAAATAAACCCTGCCACAAGTAATTTAACCAAAGTCTGTTCAACAATTTGTAGTCTTAGGGCAGAAGCTTATGTAAAATATAAAACAGATTTAAAGCAAATACCCTAAAATCCAGTGTAGAAGAAACCCTTTTGATACCTATTTTTCATCTAAAAAATTATCTACCAGTGTGATGGATAAACCAGTATAAAATGCTGACACACACAGCATCTTTAGTATGAGAGCATCTGCCACCATACAGGGGTAGATTGTTCTGTGAATAACCATTATGGAGTGCTATATTAATTGAAAGACCCCTAAATTAAAGTCAGCGAGTGACAGCAGCAAGTGACAGCAGCGTGGGCAGCGTGACTCGCAGGTCGTGGGTCCGTACTTCTCAAAGTTCACCGTAGGCTGAGACATCAACTACGGTTCTGTAGCTAGGAGTGCAAGCTCCACAAAGTTAAAACAGATATTACTGACAGAGCTTTACAGCTGCATAGAAAATGCACTAGAAAATGCACGTTGAGAACTTTGCTGAACGCAATGGAAATCATCACGCAGGAGGTCTGTTTTAAAAAAAAACTGTCTTTTGGAGACCTCCAAAAGACTGCGTCTTATATACCGGTATGCTTCCAGCTATAGTATATTAACGCAAATTAGATACGTTTGCTCAATTTTGGTGGTGGCTGTGCTATAGCAGTCAATAAATCCAGATTTTAAGGATAGAATGTAAACAAAAAACGATATTGGGTACTAGACATGAAAAAAACATGCAATAGGGGAAGCTTCTTAATTCATTTATTTTTGCATTTTATATGTAATAAGTCTCTCACCTCCCAACCTCTCCTCTGCTTTATGAGAATCCACAGGTTTAACTGGTAGGTCTTTGGAGGAAGTGACCCCGTCTGCTGCTCTACTCTCTCCTGACCTTTGGCTGCTTCCACTTGGGGACTTTAGCGTCTTTGTGGGGGTCTTAGAGGGAGACCTGCTTGTGGTTGTAGTGGTAGTGGTTTCCCCAATGGATGGCTTCTTGCTGAGCTGGAGGCCGCTGGTGAATTTTTCATGCTAAATGGAGATTAACAATTGAAAAAATATATTACGAATGTGCATCGTGTTGAACATTAGTACTTGAAGGTGTGTGTAAGGGCACAAATTGTGTGTTTGTGTGAGTTTTTACCTTTAGAGCCTCCTCAGGCACAGTAAGCTCTCCTCTGACAACCGTGAACAGGTTGGTATGTGAGACAAACAGGTTAAGGAAATACTTGCTACACAGTTATGATACATGCACACATACTTCTGGAAACAATTCTGTAATGACTATAGTATTATATCTATTTATAACAATTTAAACAATAATACTGCAAAGAATTAAAACAAAATATCTGGGCTTGAAGTTGCTGGTTAACATTGTTTTCAAATAATGAAGTTACTGATAAACATGATGGCTGGAGATGTTGGGAGGTCAAAAAATTGAAAGGATATCATATCCAAACCTCAGTTTGTCCTCCAGCTTCAGAGTAATGTACATCTGCTCCTGGATTCGGACATCATTAACAAAGGTCTGCAGATGGAAAATAAAGGCAAGACAAGAACCATTACAAAGACGTTAATTGAATGTAAGAATGTAAGAAAAAATTACAGTAACATAACTAACATAAAATGAAGACACATTTACAATTTTCAATCCATTGAAAATTGTATAACTACTTAAAGGAGGGAAGGGAAACTCTTGCTTCCAGTCAGTGATGTTGAACCTGCACCTGGTCAACGAGGTCCAGGTTAGAATAAAGTTATTCAGAACTGTTGAATCAGCTGATCCTGGTGTGTCCTTAAAGAAATATGTCTGCATAGCTGGGCCCAAAGGCCTGAGCATGTTCATGTCTACATTTTTTATTTCCTTTTCTTTCCTTCTCCCACTGCTGCCCCCCCCCCTTTCTCTCTTCTTTTTATAATGCAGACTGATCGGGTTTCACAGAACTGCATATGAAATTCTAGTATGCTTTCACTTCTGCTGTAATAAAACATTCCTGCCTCCCTCATGTGAGATTAATTCCAGACAGCCTAAAAAAACAGCGATGACACTCCTAGAGCACTAGAAAATGTAGCACTGCCCAAACCCAGCTTTTTACTCAGGACAAATCTTTACTACTGACTCAGCAGGAGAAAACTTCCTCTAAATCCAGCCAAAGAAGCTGGATAGTCATTGACACCACAGGAAGTGGCTCTGACTCTGTCTTCCTGTATGAGAGCTAGAGAGGATGTGAGGGATGTTCTGCTTATGTGTCCAATCTGGTGTGCTGTGACTGAATGCTAATCACTGCACATGACTAACAGCATGTGGCTGGGTTTTACTGTCAACTCGAGAAGTGAAGTGTATCTAAACTAAGAAAAACACAGAGTTCATTTATGTTTCTCAAGGTAATGATACAGAATTACTTTCAAAGTTACAGAGATGTTTTTGAGCTCTACTATATTCTTCTTCCTGCAGCCTGCTGATGTACTTCATTTCCCCCAAAAAAACTTTTAATAGCCAACTAAGACCACAGACCAGACCAGCATTGCTTCATGAAGCAACACGTGCCAATCCGCACCGGAAGCTGTGGGGCGTAGGGAAGAATCACATACAGGGTAAACATGCCAAAGAAAATAGCTAAAGGACTGTTGTGTCCCAGGTTGTGAAATAAACTAAAATGCACAAAGAATTTCAGAAACAATCAAATACATATTGATATCCAGACTGCCATTACATTGGGTCATGGATCCACTCGGATTGGGAAAACTGAGTACTTATTAAAATCAGTGACCAATCACTTCAGGAAAAAAGCAAAATAATTATCAGACATTTCATTAAACAAAGATTTGTTCAACATTACATCAATGCATACAAACTAATCAAAGTTGAAATTCAAAAACATACTAAATTTCAAGGGGCACAGCCATGATGTTTTGGAATGTTACATTAATGTGTTTGCCTACACAATGACCAAAACACATCTGGAAATGTTCTGTACTGTATATGCACTATGCACTATGCACTGTATATGCACTATGTACTGTATATGCACGCTATGAACAATTGTAGATTATTAAAGATAATTTCATTGACTTACAATTAAGTCAAATGTTTCCCAATTAATGAGAAAATGGCAAAGTAGCATGTTGAGTTTTGAGTTGTATTAGCCCTCTCATATATTTGAATAACACATTTTCCCCCCTAAGTTCTAATTTAGATAATTAGGTGTCGATAACAATTGACCTCAGCCCTGATACAGATCTTTGTTGACAGAGAGATTGATTAGCAGCAGAAAATTAGACAGTCATATTGACGAAATAAAGAAAAAACAAATGACCCTTAAGAACCTCTGCCTCAAGGTATATTTTCAATGTTTTTCTCTTCATTTGTAGGCTCCATCCATCTCCATTTAAACCATCCTCCAGGTGCCCTGTGGCTGCCTACTCTCCTCTATTCTGTCCTGTCTCTTTTGTTCCTTTATCTTTGTCCTTACCTCTCTCTGTTTTGCATATTTCTATTTGTGCACTCACCCCATTCAGGCTGCCCAGGTCCTTGACCTTGTGTTCGTCAGTCCCTGTCTCATAGTTGATGACTGCATGCTGCTTATCCACACTGCGGGACTTCAAACAAAACAAACACAAACACAAAGCATTAACCCAGTGGTTACCAAACATAATTTGCTAATTGAGATCTTAAAATTTCATATAGTTTAGATTTCTAAGCAGACAGGAGAAAATGTAAATTCAAGTACTGCTCTTGAAAATATGTGCTTAAATGATAGCTGGTGCAGAATCTATACCAAGAGAACATGAGCCTGACTATGAACTGCTAAATAGTTTATTTGGCAAACCATAAGACGGCAGTGTGTGACTGGAGCTTAATGTGCAATGTCAAATCTTCGTGGCATCTTGAGCATCTAATGTCAAACATTACGACTGACAGTAATCTTCATCTATGCAGGAATTTCAATGTCTCTGACACTGCAAACAGCAGACCTTCACATTCATGCACAGCTCTACACACACACACACACACACACACACACACACACACACACACACACACACACACACACACACACACACACACACACACACAAACTGAAGGAGAGCAATAGCGCATTGAAGGACTCAAGGTGGAGATATTGATTTTCTGTGGTGTCCAAAGGTAGTCTCTCAGCTATTTTGATGGTAAATTGTTTCCAGCACAATCCTTTGTTTAAAAAAACAAACAAAAAGACTCAGATGGAAATGTTAAAGAGCCATTATAATTAAACGTGAGTCAATAAGAAACAAGATATACCTTTTCCTGGAACTATTTGCTGGTATATAAGCATTAAGACATAATTAAGACATCATAATTAAATTTTATGTTAAATTGTTTAAAAGGCTGATGTGCTTGACTTTGCAGCTGTATGCCTGATGTCATGTTTGGTGTCAAGACATTTCTCAGTGATAAGCTCATCATTTGGAGTTACAGGATTTCAAATGTCAGCCTTCGCTTTCTCCACTAAACACAGAGATTATATCTGATCAATATGTTTTAACACTGCTCCACACAAAAGTGTTTTGAAACTCTTTTCCACATTTTAACCATATTGGACATTACATTAAATGATTTGCAATAAAAAGTTATTTGTTTGCACATTTAGATCCAGACAACAATTATATTACTGTTGAAGTCCGTCACTCATGAGTCTTTGAAATTAATGCAATGTTCAATTCCCATACAAATATTTCCTGTAACCCCACATTTCTCCCACATTGGCCAAACTTGCCTGCACCCTCTGCTGAATACAAAACACAAATACGAGGCTGTACTGTTTCTGAAGTAAAGCCAAGAGAAGCAACCAAGGAGGGCCAACCATGAATATGATTACCTTAGAAAGATTCTGAAAGATCAAACAGGATAAAAACCAACTGAGCTGCATCTTGTGCCTTACTTCACAGGATTCAGACTCATGATGCTCCAAGTAGACATACTGCTGACCAACTGAATATCTGAAGATACAGCTAAAGATTGCAGATGAAAAGAGCTCAGCATAACTAAAAATGAGTGTCAGCAATGTAAACACATCTGAAATAAACATATTCAAAATTAGAACATAAAAACGTTACAGTAAGGTGCTTGCAGGAGTTAACACATAGGGCCTATTACTCTTGCGCATACAGGCAGAGAATAGATGAACCAGAAAAACACACACATAAACAAATGAGTTGAGCTTTGAGACAGAGGAAGTAATCCTGAGAGACACAAAGACCTACCTTTTTATTATCTGGTTTATAGCTGCCAAGGGCGGAATTTTATTAAATGATTAAGGCTGACTTCATGGAGGGCTCCATTCCTGTCTTTCTTTCATTCTTGCCCTTTACCATGAATAATAAAATAAGAATAAGAATTTGCTGTGATCGTTGTGTAAACAGCACTGCCAAAACCGTTGATATTATGACCAATTCAGTGGGATGAGATCTAAGCATTTACCAAACACTTAAGTCAGACTACTCAAGTAGCAGTGCGATAATTCTATGCCTTTTGAAGTTTCTTTTACTGTCTGTGAGTGTATGAGTGTGTTTAATTTGGTGCATGAAAAAAAAGCTCTTAACATTTAGCCATGTGATTAGACTTTTGCTTGATAAAGAAGTCACATGGAGGACAACCGTAAGCAGCTACACAAAGTGATGGACCAGCACACACAAAGCCAAAATATTGTCCTCAATTTGGATGATTTCCTTATCAGTCCAAAGACATCACAAGGGTAGGAAACATACACACAAGCAAGGCACTAGTCATCAGAGATATATTAGACAATCTGCTTGAAAAAAGGAACACCTTTAAGAACTCTACATGCTTCAGAAAATGTCCTTTATTACTTCTCTCCTGAACTGTCCTCATCAAAGAAAATGATTGTGAAAGGAAAGTGGCCAGCAGGGACACGAATAAAAACTCAGCAGCCAGCAGACTGAAAGGGCAACAAGGTCAGCTTTAGACACAGTTTTGCTTCCTTTAAAACCATTTCCTCATTAATAATGTAGAGTTTTCAGTAGTTTATTCTTGAACTTGGAGACAAGTGATATAAACTGCAGCAGAGATGGGACCAATCCTATCTCATATCGGTATCAGGTCCGATATTGACGTAATTTACCGATCGGATATCTGACAGACGGCGCCGATCCACATCACTGATTAAGAAAGATGGTTTGGCACTTCAAATATTCGCAACTCGTAGTCACCCTTGGAAAACATTCAGACTGAACTGTAAGAAGTGTCCACAAATCTTCAACATCAAGAAGTTCAGACAAGATGGAAAAGCTCCTTCTTAATAATCAAAAGTAAGTTAATTGATAACAAATTACTGTTATATCAAAAAAAATGTTGTATCCTTTTTGTAATTCTGTTTTGTTTCATACAACATACAAACAACAAAATGGGATTTTAAACCACTCGTAGAATCAAATAGTATCTCAATGGTATCGTGGATGACTCATTTTTTTGTAATAAATATTATAAACACTTAGTGCATTTGTAATTTGCTCGTAACTGCTGTATGGAAAGCAGAAACCTGAATAATTCAGATAGAATTGTGTAATCACATCGGTTAACGCAGTGATTTAAATTAGATAGAAAGCGCAACTTAAACCTTTGGCCTCTTTCTTTTACCAACATGATAAAAATAAATATAAGTGAGAGTCCTGAATACATACTTCACAGTCGGATACTCAGAGGCATACTGGTACCAGCTTAAAAATCCCTGAACATGTGATGTCAAAACAGAGACAGCTACCATGGTTGCACCCTGTACCCACTACAACTAAGTAAGTCAGATAGGGTGTAACTCAGGAGGTATCTGTCCCACTTTCTATTAATAGTGCAGTGACCAGAGGTACACATGAGCATACACTTGGTTTTCCCTGGATGTATGCACTGCTGCGCAGACACCACCTCACGACACACTAACATATCAACAAGTTCTGCTACTGCAAGACCGACAGCATAAGCAGTCAAGGCTAATTTGTATAGTCCCTCTGTAAACACTTCACGCTTATGAATCTGACTTTTTTGAGGCCAGCTGGTTATTTATATCACTGAGAAGAACCTCCTAACCAGTGTCAGGCTACTTGTATTCAGTTGTTCATATCGTATCATATTATCCAAAAACGGAGTCACTGAGACTAGGTCTGCCATTTGCTGCGACAATAAGGGCTCAAGATAACAAGAAAAATGCAACAATAATATCCACTGAGTTTCAGTTTGTTGAAGCTGTCAGTGAAGAAATACTAAGCATTCTCACCTGTAGCATTAGCTCACAGTCGTCCCGGCCAACAAAGATCATTTCCCGGGGCAGTCGGTGGCGTGTCCCCCCACTGCTCACCAGGAACCAGGAGGTCACACTCATCTCTGCAGCCTCTGGTACACACCTACTGTACATGCAGAGAAGCAAACAAGAAGCAGAAGAGGTTCAGCTAATCTGTGTAGACCAATAACCAGTGTTTGCATTTGGTAGCAGTGCATCCCTTAGCTGTAAACTGCTACATGTTCAGAAGGAAAAGGTACTTTTCCACCTTTGTCCTTAAATCAGGATGAACATCCGTAAGAAGAGACATTTGGTATATGCATTATTGTTCTGAGAATTTTCTGCATCTCTGAATCAAAATTACATAAAATATATCATATAGTCAAACACAGAGAAATTCTGAGCCTGCTTACACTTGTTTTGTTGAATCATAATTATCCCTTATCAATTTCCACCTCGCAATGTGTACAATTCTGTTAATTATATTGTATTTTTAGCAGAGAGATCTTAAAGTTTAAAGTTTAATTCATTACTTTATCTTAGTGGAATAACACTACAGATGTAAGTATGTTGCTTTGAAATAAAATAGTGAGTTTAATTGCATACCTCTGGTCAAGGAAGCTCACTGCTCATAGACTGCTGAGAACACAACACAGCTAGGCCATCCTTAGGAGGGAGAAAAAGAAGACATGTTTCATCTTTTTATTTAGAATCACAGAGGCAGGCAAATAAATTAACACTGATCTGTGATGTAGAAATAGCTGAAATGCGTAAAACAAGTAAGTAATAAACAGGAGAGTGACTGACAAAGTGTAAACAAGGGCAGAGGTTCACTACAGCAAAACACTCCATCTTGCTTCATTTTGTTTTGCTGGTAGGGGGAATGAGGCTGAGTGGGCGTTCTTGTAATGTGATGCCTCAGAGTCTACGGCTGGAAATGAACACTAAGCTAGCCAGTAAGATACATCCACTCTTTCTCTCTGCCTGCTCTGATCATTGCCAGATGTTAGAGGAGGAAGTGATGTAGGAATGTTGGCTGGCCTCACCAGCAAGACATTTATTTTCCCTCTTGCCTTCCTCCTCCCCTCGTTCTCCTTCAGATGAGCTGGAAAGGAGGTCAAAGCCAGCCACTCTGACTTTCTAACTCTCCAGGCCTCGAAGAACTGATGGACATGTTATCTTTAAGAATCTTTTTGATCGGACTTTCTGGATTGTTAGAAGTTAGGCTTTACGGTAAACAGCTGTAGGGATTGATTATGTCAGACTGATTTAACAGGCTGCAAAATGTAGCAGCTAAAGGTAACTTTCACATCATTTTAATGTCAACACTCTCTCAAAATGAAAACAAAACAGAATGGAGTGAGGTAGACATGTGTTCGCATTTAGTGTAACCTTACTGTTAAAATTAAAATTAGTTTTAGAGAATTTAATTATATTCAAAATCATATATTTCAACATCAAACAGGATTGAAAGAGAGGGTTTCCATGGTGAATTCAAGGGGCCAAAAATAACGAACTCTCTATGTGTCTCTAAGTGCCAAGAAAAGCCCATCAGAGAGCGAAATAAAGATTATTGAGCTAAGCTCTTGCTCACTTGACCTCATAAGTACTCAGAATACCAACTCAATTATCCCCAGGGTGAATTTTAATCAACTACACACCTCTAACAGTTTGTTGCACGATGCAGCCGAGAACATGATTGCAACATGGCAACAGCTGTCTCTGATGTTAAAGGGAATCTGCTTTTCATCCCACAATACAGATTTATATTACATTTCAACATTTAATGTGCGATTATTACACAATTACAAATCCCTGGCTGTGACACAAGTATTGTGCTGCAACATGCTGTGATAACTCTTTTTTTTCCAACATAATTTATGTCAATTATGCCATCGTGGGGTGGCATAACACTGACACATTAACTAAATTGGTTTGGGCAAAATTGAGTAATCAGTCGTAACTGAGTAAAAATGTCTGCACCATTAACCAAAATTAAACTAGATTTGGGGAAAGAAGGACTACAAATGAGCAAAAGCTGAACCAGATCATTCAGATAAAACTGTTACTGGCCAGATTCCAGCTGAGTTTCTAATGCTCATATGATTTGCATCCTCTGCTTGGTAATCATGTTACATCAACCACAAAACTACAGTCATATGACCACTTGAGATATGGAACATGAAATGTTTTTCGGTTGCGACACTAGAACAACTCTCTCTGCATTCATTATCAGAAAAAGTCTACAAAGAACAACAGCATTGCCATTACACTATAATTATGTGTAGTTACCCCTCCCCACTGAAAGCAAAGCATCTGAAGGCTTTGCATCTCAATAACCACACATTAACTGCAGAATGCAAGGTTAACGATGATGTGGCTGAGGAGCCTGAATACGATGAATACCAGTCTGTGTGGTGTCATTAAAAAAACCTTCATGCTATCACACATGAAAGACATGGAATATAGTCAGGAGGAATGCAGTGGTGGGGCTGACAAACTGGAAAGAGCGGTCTGTTTAACATGTGATCTTTACAGTCCTAATGATTAGATTTTGAACCATATTTTGTAGCCTGGATTTCTTGCTCCATCCCCCTCGGAATGGAGGAATAGAATGCAACCAAATCTGAAGAGTCTACAGCGTTGAAAAAGTATTCAGGATATTCACCAGCAAAAAAAATAAACCCATGTTACTGTGGATTATCAAGGTAAAACAGCTAAACTGAAACAACTGTAAAAAGCTGTTTCAACTATGTTTAACAAAAAATCTAAATATTATCTGGTTCTTCTACTACTCAAATGTGAGTAATTTGCTGCCATTCACTGAGGAAAACATTTCTAATTTGGTAACTGTAGTTCTTGGACCATTGTCATCTTGGGTTCTTCATTATAGAACTTAGCAATTTTCTATGTGGTTTGAGATGTTATATTCAAAATAGATCATAACCAAAGAACATACTGGACAGTTTCAAATATTGTTTTACTACATCATGCAGCTTACAATGACAAACTGCAATAAATATCACATCTTATTTTCTGAAATGCAAAGCAATAACAGACGCAAAATTGAATATAAGTTCTTCACATTATCAACTGCTATACTCTTGGCTTAGTGTCAGCAACTCCCGCTTCTGCTGGAGCTAATAAGGAAGAACAGTGACCTCATGGTTTTGGCCTCATGGTTCAGAAATTCCCCAGCCTCCAGACTTGACACGCAGAATTAAGGAGCAAAAGGGAGGGATTATTCTGAGATGACTGTGAATTCTTTGTAAGGAGAAGATGGTAGTGAAGAGAGGAAGCATGAGCACAGCACTTCCTGTAGTGGAAACCTTTCTCATCTTTGATTATATAGTAGATGTGGTGTTAATTTGTTGATTGCATTACCTAAATGATTTGATAAACCAAGTGTCAGCTGTAATGAGGCTGCTCATTCACAGCTCAAAAAAGCGGCAATGCATAATCACATTTATTGGCTCTAATACATCTCCCAGCAAAGTTTCTGTTTTACACAAAACGTTATATAAGCAGTCTTTTGAATTTGAAGCATTTCAAATTAGTTGCTCCACTCCAAAGTAGCCAATTACAAACACTGTCTTAGAGGGAGAGGAAGTGATGTCAATGAGTGCCAGTTTATTTACTGTCGTCACTATAGGTTTCTTTGGTGCAGCACATGGCTGCTGCTCTCCGTGCTCTCCACGTAGCATCTGGATCCAGTATGTATCACAGAATGATGCAACAGCTGAATAACCACCCCCACCACTACTCGTCAGCTTTTTACTGTTTAACCTCCAAGACCATCCCATAACCACAAAGACCCTGATAGCTGACTCAGACCACATCACTGACAGCTGCTGTTTGTAGCCTGTACACACAGGTTTACAAACACACACATGTAAGCCAAAAACATGAATAAAGACAGTAAAGGAAAAGAATCAGGACAGACAGAAAATAACTCATACTCTTGTCACTAACATTTCCTTACAGTCTTATGATGAAGACCAAATTTAGCCCTAGTAAGGGTGTGGTGTGGTTGTCAGCCTACATTGTAAAAATGCATCTTAAATCCCAGTCAAACTACAGTAAATCTTACCAACAGCGACAGTATGGATGCAACAAACTTCTGAAGAAGAAAAACAGTTTGACCTAATGAAACATTTTGTGCTGTGCTGTTCTCTTAATGGAACATACTCTAATTGAATTGAAGTGATTAAATTAAAAGGCTTTTAAGCATTTGTTGCTCTGAACTTTCCTGTCTGGTTGGTCTCTCCCAGAAGAAATCCTCTGCCAGACAAGAGGTGGTGCATTAAATGTTTTCAACAGCAGCAGAAGCTGTTTGTTTTGATATAAATAGCACTAAGTACTTAGCTTGAACAGTGATACCTCCTTCGGCTGTAAAGTAAAAAAAAAAAATAGAGCAGTAACTTTATTAAATTCAACTCTATCCACACGACAATCTGAAGACATTATCATAAAGCAGTGCACTTTGACTCACTGCAAAATCATTTTTGGGAAGTGTACAAGTTTCACACTACAGCAAAGACAGCTTAGTACCACAGATGTTGTTAGAATGAAAGGATATTACTTTTGGGAATTATAATTTTAAGTAAGGTCTGAAATGACCTAAATCAATATTGTAGCCTTGCAATAATGAAAAAAGAGCAAAGAGAGTACTTGCTGCTTCACTGTATATTGGAAGCATATGCAGAAGCAATTACAAGACAATATTTAAGGACGAGACAAATAAAGAGCAGAAACCTTTTTTCTTTCAGAAGGCTAAGGTCAATACATAACAGACAAGGGAGACTGTCTTGCACCTGCAACCCTAAATCTTTGGGGGACAGGAAAACCATAACACCCTGAGGGGTGTAGAGAACACACTTTCTCTGGACAGACAGGCAAACAGAAAGACAAAAGGATTTTCTTTAGTCCCTAAAGGCTTTAGTCTACAGTGTATTTACAAACATAAAAGTGTACAGTATAGGATCTATTGTTCCTCTCTTAACATCTGGTTAAAATAACTAGTTGTGCATCACGGTTTTACACATTTCTCCTGTGTTTAAATAACATAAACACTTAAATGATAGTCAAATTCTAATAATGCACTGTTCGATAAATGATTTTTGATGCTGATGTTGCACTAACTGCTATGAATAATCAGAGAGACGAATGAGCACAAAGCCGAACGCTGAACTTCAACAGTCTGACACTAAGTTAATTTATTTTAGCTCTGCAGGGCAGCCAGTCAATTACAGTTTGTTTGACAATAAAACAGTATATTTAATGTTCTTGGTCTGAAACTAGTATGGCACAAAGGAGCAATGAGGAGCAATAATTTTCAATGATGTTGAGAGTACAATTAAAACAAATAGATGACAATAAAAAACCTTGATGAAACCAAAACCCCAGACATTAACCTCTTACAATAGGATAACAGCACTATGCAGGGAGATAATAAAGCCCCTCTAATCTGCAGAAACCTGAGTGTGTATGTGTGTATGCTTTATGTGTGTTGATGTGGCTTGGAAATGTTGCATGCGGGTAAAAAAAAGTCCCAATGCAGCAGAAAAGACCATATGGTGCAGGAAAATGGACACACGCATTACATGAGCAGTTGGCAGTAGGAATAAACAAGCTAACACCACCATTTAGCCTGCAATCGCCCAGCAGCCACCTCTTTGTTATCATCATACACAAAGCCAGCACACCTCTCTGGCCTTAAGACACAAACTCACCATACGCTCGATGACCCCCCCCCCCCGTACCACATGACCCACAGACCTACATATGGAAATGTACTCCTCACAGACTTCAAGAACTATACAGCATTTTAGTAAAAAAAAGAAAACACAGCACGCCTTTGAGCACTACATCATGAAAGTGATTATTCTTGTAGAGACTACTGAGGGTGAAGCCAGCACTCTTAACAAGCTTTCTTACTGATAGAGACTTTACAAAAAGATGATTAATAATCCAAGAGAATTAATAACGCACATGCCCTACAGCATTGTCTGTTTCAAAGCATGTGATTCTCACTCTGTAAAATGTGTGCAGTACATTTTCAGAGAAAAATATATTAACATAGACTCATTTCTAGAGGCAACAACTGGTTCATGGAAGCAAAAATACTTTGTGTAGTAATATTGAACCTTAAGTTAATGTTAAAGAAATTATTAATACACTTGGCCATGGCTGAAACAATTGGTTGATTAAGGCATTACTAGAAACCATTTTGATAATCAAATGAATCATATAAGTTATTATTAATAAGGCCAAAACAAGAAAAAATCATGGGTGTTGCTTTTACAAATGTGGGCCCTTTTCAGCTTTAAATCATTTTAAACTGGTTATCTCTGGGTTTAGAATTTTTTGATGAAAAAACAGACATTTAAAGTATACGATGCATCGGTTCAACATCGGTATCTGCCAATTTTTGGCCCTGTTGGCCGACATTGGCAAATGATGTGGCATGAATCACTGTCAGTAGCCAATTTTTATTTGTTGTGCCAAATCAATTTAAAGCTGGCATCTAGTACACCTAACTACTGATTCAGAGAAGAGGTTTTTTTATTGGGCAGAAGAAGTCACCCGACTTGTTTTTCATTGTTTAACATGAAAGAAAATTGTGACATTGTGGGAGTCCTACACCAAAAGAAGTCATGAAAGAAATATTGGAATCAGCTAAATTGTTATTTCAAACATCTGTATCAGCCCTGATTTTTCCAATCAGTACATCTCTAATTTAAAGATGTCACTGACCTTGGCCTTACAGAGGTGGTTGTGGACATTTTCAACTATTTTTGGTAATTATATAGACCAGCTACGTCCGTTCAAACATTCCTGATATGAAATATTATTGATTTTCATGTTAGTACAATAAAAGAAACTAAAACTGAAAACCAAAAGTTGTTTGAAATCGTTGTTTACATTTTCAAACTGCAATATCCTTGTATTAGACTATCATATGAATAAATCACTGTATAGCAGATAGTGTGGGAAGTATAGGTTTGTTCCAGTTATTGGTCTCGTGGCCCTGTTTGGCCCCTGCTGAGCAGATAATGTCTGACCCGTGGCCCTTTAACAGGAACATTAGTATTTGGTGAACCCTGCCACGTTGATTATGGCACCAGCAACATTACATCCTGCCCACAGCAATAGCCTCAGCAGTAGACAAAAATAGTGAACTGTCTCACTCTGTAATCCACACTAGCACTTAAAGAGAAAAAACATGTAGGCATAACAGGACAATCAGAGGGAGCCTGGCAAAGGGAGAGATGGGAGTTGGAAACTGCCAAAATAAAAGATCAATATCTGCAGTGGAAAGAAGCACAAAATACTGGAAAGTCAAAGGGGAGTATGTTACACCCCAGAACAGATGTGAAGGTCAGCCAGTTTTTTTTTCGTTTTTTTTTCATTTTTGAGAGGCAAAAAACAAAGACCCACCCAGATGTTCCATAACAAGGGAGAGGCTAATGATTGTGATAAAACATGTGTTCAAACTTTTCCTTTTCTTTCATTTTTTTTGCCATGTAGTCTCTCACTCTCCCAATTTTTTTTTTTTCCGTTCACCTTCTTATTTTTTGTCTCTGTGCCTCTGTACACGAGAGGGACTGCACCAGGCAACGCTGCCTCTCATAACCCTTTCAACTTTTCCATCCAGATTACAGAAGTGAGATACACTGCTATTTAAAGCCACAGACACCCTGGCACAAAAACACTTTAATGAACGAATTGGACAGAGGGTAATAGTATCAACACCCAGGCTATGTTGTTTTCTGTCTCAACTAACACTCCCTGAACACTGAAGTAAAATGAACTCACTTCCTAAACTTCCTATATACACAATGGCTGAAGGCAGGCTGGACAACAAGGTCTACAGTAGAGGAGAAAATAATCCCCTATTATTGAAGTTAACCTTTCTATACTCGTACAAGTATACAACAGTTTTGATAGTGAAGCAGATGCCACTTCAAGGTATTAAGTGTAAGTTACAGCTTGCTGACTCTAAGGAATTGTGTAAACAAGCAAAACAACATAAGAACATTTTCAACAGATGTAGTAAAAACAATTAAAGTGTTCTATTAACTCACATAGTTGCTGCACTTGAACCGTTTAAATTGACACTTTTATGACGGCAACGGGGGGAGGCTGCTGTCTCTCAGAGTGAGCAGCAACCAGTCCTGTGACACTGACACACTTTTTTAAAAATGCAACCGCCTGTAGAGCCAACCAGCAGTTGCCGGCAGCAACATTTGCAGGGAGGACAGGAAGGAGGCGGTAAAAGGCAGAGCGAAAAAGAGAAGGAAAAGTGAAGGAGACTGGACGGTATCCGCTGCACACTCTATGGCTCCAACCCAGAAAACATTTTTGAATTAATACAGATGAGGGAGGAGAAGGAGGAGACTAAATCGTCTCGGTGATGTTCAGCCTGTAGCGCTGCAGCTTTCAAAGAAAACATCAACTCAGTGTGTGCAAACTTGTGTTATAAACCAGACCTGGAAAGCACAGAGCTTCCTTGCCAAATTAAATGTTATCAGATGAGATTAAGAAAAGAAACAAAGTGAATAAAATCACATCAGCCTGCTGATACAGACATCTATTTAAACAAGTGCAACTATTTGTATGCATCTTGCATAAGCATGCTGACTGACTTCGTCACTTATTCAAAGCAGTCTATATTCTCTGATAATAAACCATTATTACACAATTTATAATTCTGAATATTAGACTGTATGGGGAACGCAAACAATGTATCTTTAAGGTCTATGTTAACACGTCGGCATTAAAGATAATGCAGTTAAAGCTGATTTTTGGCCCAAGTTTAACATCTTATGTGTTGATGACAGCAAAAATCAAACTCTACACAAAGAGAGCGGATGTATGTAGGCCAGCTACATCTGCCCCACGAAAACAAAGCCTCCACACAGAAGGGGGGGGGGGGGGGATCCGACATCGGGAAACACTCTTTACAGCATTTAATAGCGAAATGCCCCGTCATATAATGTTCCCTTCAGACAATGTAAGCAGACTCAAAGAGCACCCTCAGGTTAGTGTGTCTCCGCCGAGATAAACAACAAAGCGTCCATTGTGACCGACCTTCATTGATGTGCATCCTGTCTCCATACCGTAGGATGGTACAGCAGGATGCAACTTATCAGAAAAAAACAGGTTAAAAAGCAAATAGCATAAGAGGGAAATGTGACTGGTGTTTTAACAGAGGAACCGAAAGTGGGGAAGCTCTGTCTCTGTACAAAGGCGTAGCAGCAGTGCAGGCTGGTCATGCTGCTGCTGCTGCCGACAACAGTAGCCACCATCCAGTTAGCCAACAAGGAGTCAGACCAGTTCTGTTCAGCCAAAAGCAATAACGGTATTTATATGCTGCGCTTTTTTTTTTTTTTTAATTAAACGTGATAAATGCATTTTTTTTTAGTCCAGGTTTAACTAGCCTATCTAAACCTGGGACGCTTTAAAGTCGGTTGGGTCAAAAAAGGAGAATTTTGAATCAACATTAATAACCCACATTAACATGAATGGATGAGAAAAGCAGAAACAGCGACTCTTCCTTCTCTGTATGCCGCAAACTTCACGTGTCGACCACACAGCTAAAAAGCTTACCGGTTAGTTAGCCGGAATATTTGTTTCCTTTATGCTTAATTTAAGTGAAATTCACGCCTCACTTACCCTTTTCCTCTCCGGTGTGTGTAGCTGTCGAAGGTGTGTGTGTGTGTGTGCGTGTGTGTTAGAGCCCAGCCCAGCCGCTGCTGCAGTTCTGGCTGTGCGCATCGGCCTTCTCCCCCTCCGTTGCTCAGCGATACGCTACTTCCAGCGAAACAGCGGCGCGCCGACCATCCTGCAAGAACCGTCAAAGCAGCGCCCATATGATTCTAAACTTCCGGTTACTACTTTCAAAATAAAATACGAGCGAATAGGATGCCGGGTTTTGCAAGCGTCACATGCACCAGCGATCTTAAATCTTTGGGGGACACGGAAACTTTAAGACCCTGAGGGGTGTAAAGAACACAATTTCTCTGGACAGACGGGTAGATAAACAGAAAGAAAAACATCATTGTTTTTAGTCCCGAATCAATCAATCAATCAATTTTTATTTGTATAGCGTCAACTCATAACAAATGTTATCTCGAGACACTTTACAAAAAGCAGGTAAAATACCTTACTTATTGTTATATTACAAAGACCTGGCCTATCCATCATGGGCACTTTAGCAAAGCAGCAAAAGTTACAGTGGTAAGAAAAAAAACTGCCTTATTAAAAGGCAGAAATCTTCGGCTCATGACGAAACAGCCTTCACACTAATGGCTTAGTCTACAGTGGATTTACAAACACAAAGTCTTAAAGACAACCATAGTAGTAGACAGATTGAAAACGATTATAGCTCATCATTCCTTGGCCTGTGAAACTAGGTGGGCACTAAAAAAAAACAATGATATTAAAGTTAGGACATACATTTTACAGAATTATGACTTACTCCTCCCTCTGCCTGCTGCACACTGAGGAGGGGGATTTAGAGCAACACTTATTTGTTTCCCCGATACTTTTTCTTGTTTTCCTAAAAACTGTTTTTTTTTTCCTTTTCCCATGCTTGTTGGACTGCTGGGTTTTGCTCTAGTTTGAGCGGGAGACAGTGGTGTAGTGGTGCCAAAATAAGTGGGTATACTCTTAATTTTTTTCTTATTTATTTTTTTTTAAGTCGTTTGTCTAGCAGAGGATTAACAGCCTCTGTAATAAACAGTGACAGGTAAGACTGCTCCTACATATTAGTTTGTGTGTACTAGACAATAAGAGATGGAGTAAAGAGAGTCATCCCTTCACCATCAGGGAAAAAAAATTGCAGAATACTAATATTGTCAATCTTTCAATGGTGTTTATCAGAGGAGATTGGAAGTCGGTATGGAGACTGACAAATAAGTGGTATACTCTGTATAACTGTGTATAAGATGCAGATCACCTGTAGTATTGTTTTTGGTCTTCAAGTTTTAGGGAGAGGTGCTGGGAGCGACAGGATAATGCAAGGTTGGCTCAGCATCTCCCATCTTTTCTTGATTTTGGCAATGGGTCTCCAGTCTGTTCTGGTTTCCTTGGTTTATTCTTTACACTTTCCGGTTAAATAAAGCTTGTGGGTTTTCAGCCCTTTAAATCCTGTGGCTTCCCTTTCATTTATTTTCAGTTTCCATGTCACTGACCCTCCGTTCGGTTAGTTTTTTTGTAGGGAGCCTGTAACATTGGCCTATTTGGAAAATGTTACTTTTAATTTTAAAAGCAAATGTTGTGATTTCCGGAGTTTGTTGTTGTCTCTAACTTGACAGACTCCACCACCGCAGCGCCAGCGTCTACACTTCCAACCATGGATGCTTCCAACTCGACCAGAAGCCCATGACAGAACCGGGTGGGCGGGTTTCCTGGACTCACTCAGGGTCTATTGTTCTCCACAGCAGCCGGGTCACACAGCCTGCAGGACAATATTAACGCTGAAAATAAAGTAAATTGCTGCGACATGATGGTCAGCCCAGTGGCACAACATCCGGGGAACCAAACATAAAACAAACGATCTACTGAAATGAAAATGAAAATGTTGCACTACAGGATCTTAAGAGTATTACTTGGCTTTTTTTTTTCTTGCCTACGTGCATACTAATTAAGGAGATTTTAACAAACTGTTGTAAATAAAAGCTTAGCAAACCCCATAGACTGTAAATATTAAAGTAAGACCTCAAAACGAAAAGAATCGGTTTTAATCATGGTTTTATTAAGTGCTTTGGAAGGACACCGAAATGTTTGCTTAATCAGGTCAATGAAAGTGTGGATCGAAATTACTTTGAATTTTATTTAGTTATTCTTAACGCATACGTACACAGAAAGGCCCCCAAAACAGTTTCAAAACAAAACTTTAACCGAAAACGTGATACTTCAAATCGTCTGGCACAAAAAATGACGTAATGACGTAATGACGCGCCTTCTTCGTCTGAGTGGAGCGCTCGGTTTGTTCTTCTGAAAGTACCGGCTAGCAAGACGGGTTGTCTGGTATTTATTTTTGAAATGTAACATCTGGGCCTGTTACTTTTATACAATGTAAAAAAAGGCAGTAAAAAAAATAAAAATAGTTTTTGTCATTTTTGGAACATTACAGATGTGCTTTATTATGTGGACATTGCCTTAACTTCCAAAAGCCCTGGAGAAACCAAGTCCAGTAAACTTCACTCATAAGGGTCTTTGCCTTTGAACTGCAGCATTCAGGAACGCTCAAACTGAGTTCAGGTCTTCTGCGTTTGTTTAGCTGCGGATCAAAGTGAAGTCACTGTTTTACTGCAGTGGAGGTGTTACGCTTTGTTTTAATATCTCCTGACACACACAGTAGCTTGACTAAAGTGTAGCAAAGAAATGCTAGTTGTGTTATTTTAACCATGCAACCAAGTGAAATACAGTATCAAATGGAAGTTAATGCCTTTTGCCCTGGCATGACGCCTTATTATTGTACAGGCAATGCAAAGGCAGAGTACCTCAACTTCCAAATAAGGGTCAAAGGTCATGTTTGAGCGAAATATTTTTATTGTACATTAATAACCTCATTAAAAAAAAAAGACAAAGAATTGCCACATTTCCAATATTCTGCCTGCAACTCATTTGGCTGGACAACAAAAAGACTTTAAAGTCATTTTTCTGCAGTTCTACACCACAGACAGGTGGTCTTCAGAATGATACTGTGTGTGTGTGTGTGTGTGTGTGTGTGTGTGTGTGTGTTACTTTCGACGTTACCGCCCACGCGGCAGACGGCGGTACATGAATCAAACCCCCCCCCCTTTTGTCGGTCGTACGTTGGCTCAGGAACGTGCGCAGCCTCTGCCTGCTTGCTGGTTGTTAGGAGCGAATGGTTGTGCGACATGGACGACCCGCGGGATGTTCAAATTTCCAAGCGAAACGGGAGCTCCAGGTCGTTAATATCAGCAAGTTCCGCGGTGGCAATGGAGATCAAACGAAAGAAAATACGACAGAGCACCGTGTTCCTTCTGACAGAGGTATGGCCAGAGATTTTCTCGAGTGGACTTTTGTTGTTTATCGTCAAATCTTGAATCACAGTGACGGGGTTCAAGTTACGCCTGGGAAGGGTCCAAAGTGCAACGATGAAACGAGGCTAATGCACGGTTTCTTTTTTTTTAAGTTTTCAAATTAACAACAACATCTTGCTTATTCGGTAGGCTGTGCTCAAGCAAAAAAATTTTTTTATTTTATTTAACAGCTTCTCTTAAACATTTGGTTTCTATTACCGAGGACAAAGATAAGCAAGTCGGGTCAGTTAAGAAATACGAGACCTGCCTCTTCAACATTATTCACTTCCCCCGAAACCAGAGCTGTGCACACTCTCTGCACTGTTGAATGGTCCAGAGCAGGGATGGGCAACTTTGGTCACAGCAAGGGGCCACATTGATTCAATTCTCGCTGCCAGGGGGCCAAATTGTAGGATACTAAAACGATTACAGTCGATTATGTCTCAACATTTACCAGTGATCAAATATTATCATGGACATATTTCTGGTTTTCATGATTTCATGGCAGATTTCATCATGTTTTTCTTCATGTTTCCAATTAATTGATGTGTAAAAAAAATTAACCTGAGGGCCACATTTAAGGTTGATGGGGGCCCCGGGCCGCCAGTTGCCCCCCCCCCCCTTGGTCCAGAGCATGGACAGGAATAATAATGTTCTTTTGTTCTTAACACAGCTCCATCTAATGTCATTACAGACCAAAAGCATGAGGCGATGCCCCAGTCTCCTGAATGACTCTCAGCAGATAGTGAATGATGTGAATTTGTTGTACATACGACAGATTTCTAAAAAGCTGCAGGTGCATATCATAGTATGGAAGTTAAAATGGAGAATGATCATGTTTATGTATCCCTAAAACAGTTGTGCATTTATTTCTGAAATGTATTTGATGAATAATACCGAATACAAAAAGTTTTGTTTTCAAGTAAGTTTAAGAGTTGTTTATTTTTTTAGAACAGATTATATCAGACATAATCATACTCCATTCTGGCTACAAATATGTTAGCTTGATGCAACCCTAAATCCCTATATTCCATTTCTCACTTGTTGTTTAACAGCATGCCATTGCCAAACATACATTTGAAAACTGCATCCTTATCATCCAAAGTGCATGTGATCTAAATCGAGTCCTAACTATCGCTGTCCATCTAACATTCACGTCATGATATTCATCAAGTCATGTCAAACACAAAGTTGCTCTTGAGTGATGAAAACATGGTGGCCTCAAAGGGGATGACATTTTCAAAAATCAGCCTATCAATATCAACTGAAATGTTGTGCTAGTACCCTCTCATGGTGGTAACTGTTCAGTTTTTTTTTTACTAATATCATCCTAAAATACTATCGGGTATCAGGGATTATGTGTCTATACACAGATGCAATACCATAATGAAATATATCCCATATATATATATTAGCAGCAGAGAGTAAAATGTTATTATAAGGTTACAAAAAATCTTTTCCCACCAGTAATCTGTGTTTTATAATCCTTCTGTTTGGGATAAAGTTGTGTCAAAACATCTCTAATAACCGTTCAAGGGGAAACTTCATCTCGGCAAAATCAACATGTTTGCACTCCTCATGTGTTATATAGTTTTACGGACTTACAAAGCAAAAAAATACAAAATAAATTCTGCTCTTTATTTTCATATTCATCATTCTGATTATTGGAAATGTTTCCTTTGTATGTTCTGTCCAAAAAGAACACTAACGTACAAGACAAGCTTGAGTTTGAGATACGGATGCGCGAG